TGCCCCAGGACTCCCAGGCTGCCAGAGGATGTCTGTATTGCCAGCTTAGGCCCAATCCCCTGGGGAGCGAGCCTAAGCCAGCAGGTGGTCATCCCCCAAGGGTCTCAGACTGCCAGAGGGCACAGGCTGGGCTGAGGGCCACCCCCCCCCCCCCACCGAGGGCACAAATTTTTGTGCTTCGGGCCTCTAGTCCTATATAATAAAAGGGTAATATGCAAATGGACCCTAACAGCAGAAAGACTGGAATGACTGGTCACTATGACACACACTGACCACCAGGGGGCAGACACTCAATACAGGAGCTGCCCCCTGGTGGTCAGTGCGTTCCCACAGGGGGAGCTCTGCTCAGCCACAAGCCAGGCTGATGGCTACCAGCACAGTGGTGATGGCAGGAGCCTCTCCTGCCTCCTCAGCAGTGCTAAGGATGTCCGACTGCAGCTTAGGCCTGCTCCCCACTGGCAAGTGGACATCCCCCAAGGGCTCCCGGGCTGCCAAAGGGATATCTGACTGCCAGCTTAGGCTCGTTCCCCCAGGGAGCGGGCCTAAGCCAGCAGGTGGGCATACCCCGAGGGGTCTCAGACTGCAAGAGGGCACAGGCTGGGCTGAAGGACCCCCTGAGTGCATAAATTTTTGTGGACTGGGCCTCTAGTTTCTTAATAATTCAAAAGAGACATTAGAATTTACAGGTAGTATTTAAGAACATCAGTCTTCATTTTACCATAAGGTAACAATACTAACTTATTCAGAATGCTGCTTCATAGACTGAAGAGAAGCTAATAGTTCTGAAATACTTTAATTTAAAGTTTTCATGTTTTATTTAGTTTTAAACTGAGAAATTATAGATTGGTAAATTTTTTTATCTAAAGTTTCTTTCTCAGTCTTACATGTGTGCACATGTACACACATACACTTATATTCTCACATAGAGCTTTAGTAGCTTATTGTCACCCATAATATTTCTCTCCCATAGCAGGAATAAATACAAAACATCAAAGATTGTCTAAAAAATTGGCGTACAAAAAGAATTTAAATCATTAAAATATAAAATCATTAAAATGTTTTCTTTGGTCATAACCTAAAATTAAATCACGTGTTTTATGATGAGTGGATCCCTTTGGTCAGATGTTTCCCTTTCTTAAGAAATAGGCTATCGCCCTAACCAGTTTGGCTCAATGGATAGAGCATTGGCCTGTGGACTGAAGGGTCGCAGGTTCGATTCCAGTCTAGGGCATGTACCTTGGTTGTGGGCACATCCCCAGTGGGGGGTGTGCAGGAGGCAGCTGATTGATGTTTCTCTGTCATTGATGTTTCTAACTCTTTATCCCTCTCCTTTCCTCTCTGTAAAAAATCAATAAAATATATTTAAAAAATAAATAAATAAAAAATAAATAAAAATAAATATGCTATCAATGCCTCAGACAAGCATCAGTAAGTAAGTAGTCTTGATCTAGTGATGTTTTATTTATCCAGAAAAGAAACGTAGGTAACTTTCAGGTCAAGATTCTCTTAGACCAGAAAATTCATCTAAGTTTCCCCAAACTCAATTTCATATACAAAGACAACTTTTCTTACCTGCCATCACTCCGTAGGTTGATGGCTGATTTCCATAATGACAGGAAGGAACAGAGTAATGAAGTCCTGTTGCTGTGTTTTCCAACGTTGTCACCGGGAAATATGTACGCAAGCATTTAGAAGTTTGAATCAAAGACAAAATAGATGGGACTGGTAAGAAAATGTATGATGATTCAAGACATGTTCATTTCATTTCAAAAATACACATTTATGCCATTCTTAAATTGACACGACAATCGTTTGTTTTCATTTGGGGAAAGTTCTCTGAGGAAGTTAAAACTAGGGGGTGCCCTAGCCGGTTTTGCTCAGTGGATAGAGCTCTGGCCTGCAGACGGAAGGGTCCCAGGTTTGATTCTGGTCAAGGGCACATGCCCGGTTTTCGGGCTGGATCCCCAGAAGCGATCATGCAGGAGGCAGCCAATCAATGATTCTCTCTCATCAGTGATGTTTCTATCTCTCTCTCTTTCTCCCTCTCTGAAATCAGTAAAAATATATTTTAAAACAAAATAAAACAAAACAAAAAAATTGGGGGTTGGTTAAAGATTGTCAAATAGTGAGATAAAAAAAATCATCAGTGGACAGTAGCCTTTACTGACTATCCTATGCTCTGTGAGGGGGATGACTGACCAGTTTGGACTTGGCTAATTGAGAGTTGCAGAACTTGTTCAAGCTTCATCCAATATAGACATCATAACAAACTGACTAGAGGAATAGTCTCTTAAAATTCTTGTGTAAAATGGTATTATAAAGTCTTTCACTGGAAGAAAGACTACAGAAATGGACTCTTGAACTGTTTTTATATTGGTTATTCTGCTAACATATTTTTTCCATCAAAGAGGAAATGGCACAGCAACTAAGCTCCTATTCTATACAATCATGAAAATCCCACTAAATTTAGAGGTTTGTGCAAACTCTGTTTACAATGTATAATGTGTTCATGTTGCTGTTGAGACCTTGAGGTCATCTGTTTCTGCATCCACACAATCAATTTGACATTCCAATGATAAAACTATTCAAAAAAATAAGTTGATTGTTGAGTGGTGATGTCTATAAAGGTTGTACCTACTATATACACACAAACTTGTTCATAAGTAGTTATATGCTTCATGGAGTCAATGTGTACTTTGAAAGTAAATTTAAATTACTAAACTTTTTAAAATCAAGCTTTAAACATGAAAAAACAAGATAACTAAAACCAGGGAATATTCACACTAATTAATGTTTCTTCACATAATTAATTTTCTTATCCTCCGTCATATCCTGAATATAGCATTTGCTTTTCATAAATATAGTATAGGCATATCTTCTTGAACAAATATCTAAGAGATATTAAAAAGTAGGGAATTTGGATCTTTTGAAAATATTAAAATATTATCTAGTAATTAAAGCCATCAGGTCTCCTAAAAAATAAATCATTTTTCTCTAACTATAGAACAATGTTTAATATTTTAAAATATCTGCATAAATTCCCACTTTACAATTGACACGTAGAAAGAACTAAAGTCATTTTACATTACTATTACACAAACCTTGCTCCGCATTACAAAATTAAACAAATAAACACAAAACATGAGCTCTTATTATTATAACCATTATTTCAAATACTTATTTGGACAAATAATTATGATTTGATGAAAATATAAATTCAATGCTATTATCATTTAAAATACATTTAGGTCATTTTTACTCATCATATATTTTTTTACTTTATAAAGTTTAAATACATTTTGTTTCTCTGATTTTGAGCAGTTGGATAAATGATAGGCTAACTTATTAAATATGTTACTTACTTATTTAAAAATAAATACATCTTAAAAATAAATGGGGTTTTGAGTCTAAACTTGCTAAATCATTACCTCAATTCTAAATTTTATTTTCATTCTGAAATAATATTCACACAGTAAATTAAACAAACATTATATTATTCTCCTAGCCCCTATTTATAGAAAACTATATTATTAAAAATATACAATTAGCTAGTGATAGTTTAAATTTTTATAGCACAAATTTTTTAAAAAAATATTTTTTTATGATTTCAAGAAACATGTTTCACTATACTTCCATTATTACCTTTCAAGTTAAATAATGAGAATATTAGGTAGGTGAAAAAGATTTCAACATTAATGACTTTGCCAAAGTCTAGCTATGTAGTTTTTATATTCTTTAAAATACAGCTGAAGATTAATGCTGAATTTACATATATATTTGAAATCTTACTAATTATAATATAAAGCCTAAGTCATTTAAATCAGAATATAAATTTATCAACTCAAATTTTGATTTCTAAATGTATAATATTTTCCCTACTTAGATTGCTTTCAAAACAAGTGGAAAATAAACATAGCACATTGCTATTTAATAGAAGAAATGTATTCAAGACTTAGTCTATTTATAATTCTATTTTAAAACACTTACTTTACTATATAATTAAAGAATGAATTATGCATTAACAAAACATATTTATTTGTGTTCAAGATAATTTATTTGAATTTCCAAGTTTAATTTTTATTTAAGAAAGTTATGTAAAGAAAATATTAAAACTTGGTTAGAGGTTGAAATCTATTCATAACTCAGTTCCTGGGCTCTAAAGGTTATATATTGCTTCTAGTTTTTATTTTTGAATTTTGAATTATGCTAAAAGTAAGTTTATTAAAATTACTTAATTAGTTTATACTTTGAAATCCATTGTTGTTGGTATTAGGAATCATTTAGTTGTGTTCACGATGAAGTATTTGGCTGGTTTTATAATAGTAGCAAATGTAATCTAAAAAACAAATTTTTAAGTTAAGAAAATTACTGCTTTAAAACACTAAATTATTTTAGACTATTTCTTTAGTTTTGCTGTGTATCCATAAACTTCCAATTAAAATGATTTTTGGATTAAAAATAGCCAAATTTACTGCTTACTTATATAAAAAAACATATCTTTACAATGAAACCAAAAATAAGTTAAATTACAACACTTACTAATATTGCTTGAAAAATTTCTTAGATATTTTGACTTCTTCAATATCCTTAATATTTAACTTTAAACATATGAAACTGAAAGGAAAAATAAAAGTAGCAAAGATATCTAAATTAACAAGAGCCAAAGCATCCATTCTGAAATCTTTAGGCCCAGCCACCGGCAGACTGTTATTGGAGTCAGTACCTGTAGACATCACATTGGTGGTATGGTTGGAGACTGGTAGGCACTCGGCAGCGCTGTGATGCATTATCAGAGGCAGAGTTGCAGAAGACTCAGAATTAAGAGGTATAAAGGTATCAGCCGAAGTAAAAGGTTGGCAACTCATTCCCACAGTGAGGAGAAAAATTAGGAGAATTGTTGCTCCCCAAATCAGAGTTTTATTCTATTACTGTCTCAAAGGGCTGTTTCAAATCTCACTACCTGCATATATACATCAGGAAGGCTCTGAAGCGCCAAGAGGGCGCGTGCTGGTATTTATACTGCAGGGAAAGCCCTTTATACATGTTAATCATCTTTTCCCAGGGGTATTGCTTTATCATGTGAACTGCCTTCCTTCTACCTCAAACATAATCCAAGCCCCACAGGAAAGCTTGTTCTGGGTATAGATTGAGGGTAAGGGAGAAATCTGAAACTTTTTCTGACAGCTTCAGTAATGCAGACCTTTTAGAAAGAAATAAACTTAAATAAAAGTGTCCCTCAAAGAAATAATGTTACAATAAATTGAAAAATAGGTGTCTTTTTGTTACTAACACATACGTACATGACAAATGTATATATATGTTTTCCTTTTTTGATAACTTTGCATTAAACTTACAAAAAAAACAAGAGAACATACTATACAATTATAAGAAATTATGAATATTTAAGTTTAAATGGAAAGAAGCATAGATGACTAAATATGAGAATTAATATATAACTACTGATTCACACTAAATGATGCACCTTTGAAAAATCTGTGGAAACCAATTTCATCTTTATAATATTACTAGTGCCCCGGTGCATGAGATTCATGCACATTAAAAGGGGATTAATTAGAGGAAATATTTTAATATTGCTATTTGCCCTTTCTCTATAATAGAAGTGTCAGAGATGAAAGAAAATTAGTAAAATGTATACGAAAATTGTCCTCCTGTCAGAGTCTGGGGCGTGCCACAGGACCCACAGTCAAATTTCTGTCCACCGCGGTGCCTCAAAATTGTGCGAGACCCAGACCCAGCCGGCCCACCCCCATTGGGAGAGATCCAGACCCAACCGGCCCCACCCTTGTCAAGCCCTGTTGGGTCAACGGGGCGCAGCCTCAGCCTAGTGCCAGGGTGGGCAGTGCAGCCTGAGGTCCCCTGTCAAGCCCCACTGGGCCGGGGGTGCAGCCTGAGGTCCCCTAGCCTGGCCCCAGAGTGGGGGGAATGGCCTGAGGTCCCCCAGCCTGGGCCAGGGCGGGGGGCACGCCTTGAGATCCCTGTCAAGCCCCGCCAGGTGGGGGATGTGGCCTGAGATCCCCTGTCAAGCCCTGCCAGCCAGGGGGGCACAGCCTGAGGTCCCCGGTCAAACCAGCCTGGTGGGGGATGCAGCCTTAGGTCCCCCAGCCCAGAGCCGGGTGGGGATGCAGCCTCAGGTCTTCCAGCACTGGGGTGGGGGCATGGCCTGAGGTGCCCCTTCAAGCCCTGCTGGGCGGGGGGCATGGCCTCAGGTCCCCTGGCCCAATGCCAGGGCAGGGGGCATGGCCTGAGTTGCCCCGTCAAGCCTTGCTGGGTGGGGGGCACGCCCAGCCTGGCGCCAGGGTGGGGGGCATGGCCTGAGGTAACTTCGGCCTGGCGCCGGGGCAGGGGGCACAGCCTGATGTCCCCTATCAAGCCCCACTGGGCAGGGGGCGCAGTCTTAGGTGCCCTGCCCCAGCCCAGTGCCACACAGCCTCAGGTCCCTGCTGATTGCTCATTAAGGCTTGTTACAGGAACTCAGTCTCCGCTGTGGGCACAGCCATCTTGTGTTATGGAAACTCCGCCTCCGCTGTGGGCACCACCATATTTGTGATGGCATGACTGTCAATTTGCATATCCCCTCTTTATTAGATAGGATTAATGGAATATATTGAATAAAATGGTAGCAATCTGTAGAGACAATGAACATGAACAATAGTAGCTCTCCCTTGATTTCAATTTACTCATTAAAATGAATATCTAGTAAACTCTTACTAGATACCAATGAGATTCTAGGCACTTTGTACAGTTATGCCATGCAAATCTCACAACACCTCTATGTGTTACATACCACACCATCCTCACTACACTTGAACTGTTCCCGAACCTCTGATATTAGGCTTTCTGCTCCAGAGCCTGTAGTAACCACAGTAACACTGGGTGCAAACTTTGTACATTGAATATATTGACGTTATCTATAATAATAAAAGCATAATGTACAAATCGACCGATCGGCCATCCGAATGTCCTTCCAGACGTAGCCAGGGTGGTGAGGGATCGAGGCCTCTATTACTAGAATAAGAACACACAATATGCCACAAACACTTGATTCAAAGATAAATATCAGCATCAAGATTTTACAATGATCCTGATTTCAATATATAAATGAATAAATGCAGTACTTTAAAAATGTATACTAGGAGTAAAATAGCACACAGAAGTAACCTGACAGGCATAGATATAACTTATGACATTATTATTAAGGGCCATGTTTCATTATATTTTTTTGAAATTTTATATTACGTATTGTTTCAAGATAACTTGGAATTGGTTGCTTTGTGATCATTTAATGTTAATATTGAGAATGCACTTTCAAAAAACCTGAAACTTAAATACTTTGTTAATAACCAGTTGATATATTGTAGGAAAAAAGATAAGGTTGTCCAAATCACTAGATATTGCCTCAAAATATTTTTTAATTTATTTTATATTTTTCCATTTTTTAAAACTTTATTAGTCTTCTTTAATGAGAGTTTATGGTAATAAAAAATAATTGCCTTACTTTGCAGAATTCCTATAATTTTCAGACTTTACATATACAAAAAAATACTTTTTCAGTATATTTATAAAAATAATTTGTTAATAAAACTAAATAAAAATAAGTTCATTGGGCATTGAATATTTTTAAAATTAAATAAATGATACATAGAGAAAATCACACTTGAAATCCCCCCTAATAATTTTGCCATTACTTAGAGTCATTGGAATATGTTCATAAAGTATACCAACCAAATGGTACATAATGAAGAGTACTATAAAACCTGCCTTGGACAAAAAAAAAACCCTACCCAGTGAATTGCCATGCTACCTAAAATTCTAAAATTGAATTCATACACATAATTTCCTTAATAACAACTTTAGTTTTTTAATCATTTGTGCTGTAAAATGCAAACAGAATGTTACAGTTAAAATTATGTAAAGTCAGGAAATATATGTTCGCATTATAGCTTTCTCACTTAATACTACAATCTAATAAATTATCAATTTTTAAATCAGCTTTTTATACACATCATTTTACATAACATTGAATTTTTAAAAATATGTTTTTATTGATTTTTAGAGAGGAAGGGAAAGGGAGAGATAGAAACATCAATGATGAGAAAGAATCATTGATCAGCTGCCTCCTGCACACCCAACACTGGGAATTGAGCTGGCAACCCAGGCATATACCCTGACTGGGAATCAAACCGTGACCTCCTGGTTCATAGGTCGACGCTCAACCACTGAGCTACACCCGTCAGACCATAACATTGAATTTTATAGATCTCTTACATTTTACCCATTTCTTTATTGTTGTGTCTTTGTATTTTTTTCTGCTTTTCACTTTTATAAATAACAACACAATTAACCTTTTTTGTCCAGAATGGTTTTTTTACAAAATATGTTTTTACCAGATAGCTATTTTAGATTATTTTGAATATCCCTTCTTAGGATAGATTCTTTGAATGAGGATTATTGATTTTGTCCAATGAGATTTTTTAAAAATATATTTGTATTGATTTCAGAGAGGCAGGGAGAGAGAGAGTCAGAAACATCAATGATGAGAGAGAATCATTGATCAGCTGCCTCCTGCACACCCCCTACTGGGCATCTAGCCCACAACCCAGGCATGTGTCCTTTACTGGAAGCGAGCCCGGGACCCTTCAGTCCACAGGCTGTCGCTCTATCCACTGAGCCAAACCAGTGAGGGCTGTTGTATGAGATTTTTAAAGCTCTTGAAACCATTCCCAAATTACTTTTATTTAAAAAGAAAAAAGATATTTTTAGAGTAGTTCTAGGTTCACATTAAAATTGAGCAGAAAGTACAGAGTCCCCATGTATTCATTGTCCCCACACATGCATAGTCCTCCCTACTGTCAACATTCCCCTCCGGAGTGACACGTTCGTTACAATTGATGAATCTACGTTTGCCCATCATTACCGCCCAAAGTCCACAGTTTACATCAGAGCTTGCCCTTGTACATTCTATGGGTTTTAACAAATATATAATGACTGTAACCATTGTAATATCAATAGTTTTACTGCCCTAAAAATTCTCACTATTTCATCCATTCATTCTTTTTTTCCTCCCTAATCCCTGCCACTGATGATCTTTTAAACTGTCTCCATAGTTTTGCCTTTTTCAGTATGTTATATACTTAGAAATGTACACTATATATAGCCTTTTCAGATTTTTTTCCACTTAGTAATTTAAGCTACTTCTGTGTTATGTCATGGGTTGGTAGCTCATTTCTTTATAGGGCTGAGTAATATTCCACTGTCTGGATGTACCACAGTTTATTTATCCATCCACCTACCAAAAGACATCTTGCTGCTTTCATTCAGGTTTGGGTAATTATGAATAAGGTTGCTATAAACATCTGTGTGGAGATTTTTCACACATTTTTAAGTTCTTTGGGTAATTACCAAGGTGTTCAATTGCTGGATTGTGTGGTAAGAGTATGTTTAGCTTTGTAAGAAACTGCCAAACTGTCTTCCAAAGTGGCTGTACCATTTTGTATTCCCACCAGCAATGAATGAGAGCTCCTATTGCTCCACGTCTCATCAACATTTGCAGGTCCCTGGTGGTACATGATGCCTAACATCCTTCATGTTTTGTTTTGTTTTGGAATCTGTATATTTTCTTGGGTGAGGGGTCTGTTCATATTATTTGCCCATTTTTAACTTGGGTTGCTAGTTTTCTTATCATTGAGTTTTAAGAGTTATTTGTATATTTTGGATAACAATCTATTATCAGTTATGTCTTCTGCACATATTTTTTTCTCAGTCTGTGGCTTGTCTTCCAAATTGCTTTTTCAAATAATTTGTTCTATTATGATTTGACTTCAAATATCAGAAACAAGTTGAATAAAAAACAGTGGTGTATTTTTAGGAGATACGGGGGTTTCTTGGAACTCACAGAAAAGGTCAGACCATAGGCAGAGACTGAAGAAAAAATGGAAAGCCATTTGCCACATCTCTCTGACTCTCTTAC